ACAAATAAGACACCAAACTAAAAATCAAAAATATACAAAATTGTATTACAAATAAAGTTATACAGGATTTTAGCACACCTGCACTTCCCCCCAAGGTGAAGCTATTATTAGGCCAAATATGGTAGCTTTATATAAATYAAGAGCATTCTCCACTTAATTGAGCCACTTCGACTACTTTGAATATATAGGTATTGTGAGTAATTGATTTTCTATATTTTATGTACGTTATTTTATTTTAAATATTCAGCAATTTATTGTAATACACAAATTTGTCGCTATAGTTTATAGGTGCCGAATTGTTTCATTATTTTAAGTAGAAAATTAATATAACAATAATTGTATGAGGAATTATGATGATTTAAGATGGATGGCTGAGGCAGCGAATATTATTMYTAATTATTATAAGTGTATACCTAATTTCATAAGTAAGCCAACTCAAAATTATTTATTAGTCAATTTAAAAAAATGTGTTAATTAGCTAATTAATCTGCAGTTAAGCCTCTTCTATTGGGTAACTTTCACACAGATAAAGTCTCCCAAGTTTTTTATACCTGGCTGATATTGATATATTCGTCATGGAAGTACGCAATTACATCATAATTATTAGTATATAAAACATTTACGACTAAACAGTAGAAATAAAATACCTTATAATGTGGATTTTTGATTGTACGTCCTTGAGCTGTGGAAGTTAGATAATATTAAATAATACATTATAATATTATAATCTGCAGTGTAGACGACTGAGTTTTTCACTAAAGTAACAAAATATTTTGTCAATGATCATTTAAAGGCTAAGATATTTCAATATTATGTCGTGATACCTCCACTTAATTTTGATTAACATATTTTCACACAAAACAAAACATAAAACATAGTATACTACCTTTAGGTTATTATTAGGTACCAACTATAATTCAAGATTATAAAAAACAATATCTAAAAGCAAGTTTTATACAATTGTATATTATTATACAAGATTCTAAGAATCGAAAAAAAAAAAAAAATTCTAATGAAAATATTAGCAAGCGTTAGTGGTACTTTCTGAGCTTGAACTTTAACTAACATTGTAGGAAATATTAAATTTTGAACTTTGTAATTGTATGTTGTATTTAAAAAAATCTCCAACATCGAGTGAGTCTAGAAAAAAATATTTCATTTTTTTGTCATATTCTATTAACAGCATTGTGTATTGCCTTTTCAAGATCCTCGTAAATTATTAATGAAGGAAATGACATATACCTATTTTAGTTTTTTCGTGATCGATTTCTTTAAATGCCTAAGTGTTTGATTACATTTAAAAAAAAATTATAACAATTCCAATGTCTTAACGCATGATTAGATCATGCTAGATATCTTATAATAAAGTGTCTTATTTGCAATCCATAGTTACTTATCGATTGGGATAATTGTATAGTCTATTATATTTTTGATCGAAAATATTTATTGAAGTACAAACCATTAAAAACTAGTTGCCATATAATAATAATTGATAACTATATTTAATTTATTATTTATTTTATTTTGTTACAAAATAAAAWAACATTTATAAAGTTAAAAATCAATTTAGATACCAATAGGCAACAATACAAAAAAAAATGTTTAGTGAAAAGTAATACGTATTGCATCGAATGGCATTTCGTTCAAACAGGTTCGTTTACCTACTTGGTACGCAATTTGTGTAACCAAAATGAAGATTATGGATACACATTTATTTTAAAAAAATGCATTATTATATGCATKTGAGTGATATTAAAGATAAATTGTACACACATTTTTCAAWTTTGTTGCAAAATATGTCATAATATATTTGAAACAATGGTCATCACCGGCTTGATATTATTAAAACTATTAATGTAACATGTTGGTATCGTAAAATTATTATATAATTATAAGTAATTACTATCATGGCTAAGTTTCGAATAGAAAAGCGTCTCTGGTGAGAGTGGTATACCCTATACATCCCCGTGAACCCGCCACTTGATCGACTCGTTATTTAATGACGATATAATTTATAATTATTATAGTATCGTACAATAATTGTATTATTATACCTATTCAATTCAACGAGATTTTCCAGGTGGGTAGTATTCTTATTTTGCGTCAAATGAAATCGTTGTCCTATTATTATGTAATGCCTGGCCAAACTTGAAATACGGCTTTACATACGAATCGTTATTTCGAAGTTGATCGTGTGCGTTGATTGGACACGTTTTGTAGATAAACATCAAGGCTCTTATTACTACGTTTCCCGCAACTTTACATAGCATTTCAAATTATGATTGGTTTAGGTTATTTATTTCAAATGGTTGACCAATAAGTTAATTAAATCGAATAAAATTATATAGAAAATCTACCCGTTATTGTGTCGCTACAAAAGTGCAATGTAAACAATTGCTTAAGAATTATTGAACAAAATGTAGATACTGGTTATTTTTGGTGAAAGCTGTTTTAAACGTCATATAATAGACAATACACATTTTTAGCACATCAGTCTTACGTATTTAAATATTTAGTAGTAATTCGATTGATGTAAACTGGCTTAAAAATGTTGTATAATAGAATAGGTACGTCATATATTTTACATCCAAGTATGTAATATAAGTATAGGTAGGTATATTTAATATAATTCGCGTTCAGAGCTTAAAAAGTTAGGTTTAATATGTAGTATTATACATTATAGGCATAAAGTTTTTCATTTTTATTGTAGTAATGAAATAATTTATTACTGTGTATTTCCACTAGTTTCTCATGTGATGAAKAAACTTATAAAACTATACAATTTKATATTAGCTGCCTATTATAATAATATCATTGATTAAAATAAATTATATTTTTCGTAAATTTTTAATTCTAAGTGAAGTGATTATGTTTAGTCACAACGGCGAGTGAATTATTTTTTGTGTCTGAAAACACTTTAGTTTTTACTRTAGAAAATAATTTGACTTAATTTTAAATATTGATAGAGGTTTCCGGCGGTTGTCTAATTGAATCTTATTTGCACTCTGGAAGGTAAAAATCACAATGTTTACAAACATTACAAAAAACATGGATAAACTGGAAGTATTCTCGCGAATTCAAATAAAGTACCTACATTCAAGTGCCTATACTTAATGATAAAAAAGTACACCCCAAAACTACTTTACCACTCACGAAATTCTAGATACTTTTAAAATGCAACATGTCATATTTATTGTTTTAAATTTTAAAATGTTTACGAAACTTGTAAATAGTTAGTCTAATAACTTGTTATAATGTATACGACATAAATTTGTATTTTATGAGTTGTGGTGTATTAAAAAAGTATAAAATTATTTMGAAAGAAACATATCTTATATTTCAAAATGTTTATTTCAGTAAGTAGGTAGTTTTATAGTATAAACATCGCCRCTGCAATTCGTTTGCGCACATTCAAAATTTTTTACCTGAAAATCGACGACTCGCTTGCGCACGACGAAATCAGTCGTTTACCTGAAAATAGATCACTCGTTTGCGCAATACGTTTAACGACGAATAACGCAGAAAGTTTCCATAAACATTATAATAGCCAATTTTATACACCACATCCACACATACATCAAGTCATAGATATACTCATGSAAATTCAAAGTGAAACAGATTTAAAAATTAACTCAATAAAAAACAATGTAATGAATTATAAAAGAAAGGAAACTGTACATAAAGAAGAATACTTACAAGATATGTGGAATAAATATAAAAATAAAACTATCGACCRCTTAACTTATATCAAAAATATTGGAAATAAATTCCATCATACAAATTTAATTTGAAATAATAATAATTAYRACGATACTTWTTCATATTAATTGTAGTATATTTTTGTATTTATATTTTATATTATTTATTATTATTTATTTATATTTTTATATTGACTAATGATGTTATAACGATTTATATAACACACATCATACACACGCACACACATACATTTTTAATCACGCCTGCTTAAAAGTTTGAAACAGACAGTCTTAAGCCTGTTAAAGTGAGAAGGAAAATGTGTGCGCAAACGAGTTCTGATAATAGGGATTTTTGTCACAGGTAGCCAAAATATATGTGCGCAATCGAGTTGTGTATTTTTGCGCAAACGAGTTGTAAAAAGGTAAATGTGCGCAAACGAGTTGTAGCCAAACATCGCATATCTTATGTATATTATTATTATTACTATTTAAAAATCTTATAATATGTTATATAAAGATCATCTAAGTCATGTTTATACTGCCGCTACCAGATATCTGTAATATTTTATAATTTATTGTACAGTATGATTACAAGAGGAAACAACATTTCTACATATTAAGTCTCATTCTTTATATTTATCTTAAAATAAGATTTAAAGTCCTCTCTTTTAAAAGTCCATTMTTTTATTAATTTATATCTGTCATTGTTATCAACGATAATTACATAATATGTTAGACATATTGTTATGCGATGAACAATAATACATTGATATAATATTATACTGTGATACGTTAATATGTTTACCTTTTTTTGTAGTTGTCTTAGGGACGCTAATATAGCGCATGGAGCCAACATTTTACTTTTGACATTCACTATTCACATTTTATTTGATATTCATAAATATTTTATCAATAGGTGGTACGTCATGTTTAATTGTAAAATGATTAATACAGTAAAAGTAAAAATTCATCACTGATATTATTATACTCAGTAACTCGCGCGGTATTATGTACTTAAAACCTCGRAGCGTCGGCGCCCTGTGATTGGACTAAGAATTTGGCACCCAGAGCAACTGACCCCTAAGACCCCACCCCCATCCTTAAAATATATTCATCACTTGCAGCGTATGTTATTCCTTCTCCGATTTCCCGAGCAGACGGCCATCTCTCTTAATTTTCAATTGGGTAATACTACCTATATGCATTTTAATAAATAAAATAACTCCATAACAACATAAACGCGAATATTGTGCAATGTGTAGGTACCTATTAGCCTTGAAGTCCTGTAGCATGAAACTTGTCCCAAGCAAAATATTATGCACAAAGAACTGTACCGGTTTTCATGCGGTTTACTTATACATGTGACACAGTACACACCACTCGTATCAAGTTGACCTAGACCCGTTTGAGAACACGCTGCGCTGTAATATTATTCCAGAATCCGTTGACATGAAGTCTGCGATCATACTCTACAGGTGTTTGTTCGTTCTGATAGTACCGCCGCTGACTATAGTTGTCGTCGCCGTTGAGCCAGCGGATCACCACCGAGATCATCAAACAACAGTACAACACTCTTAAAGTATTCGGTAAGTCACATAACTATGTTTTTTTTTTTTAAGTCATCAACTGCCCGGTGTCGTTTGAATAGAATATTAATGGTATCGTCACTGTTAATATTCGTAATATATAAGTACTTACCTAACACAAAAATATGAACGTTATTTTAAATAATATATTAACCCATTTTTATATAGAAAAAATTCACAAACATCTATATAAGTCTACGACGAATTGTTTGCAAAATTATATATACATCGATAAATGTTGATAACAACTAAATATTATTGTGCGCGTTCAAATAAAAAAAACTTTTTTTTYGCATAAATGTTTTAAACTATTAGAACTTAATTGATGATACTACCTAATTACTAGTTTGGTAAATATTATATACACATTTTTTCAAATTCTCAACACAAAGATACCTAACTATAAATATATAAACTGAAAGTTATAGTATATCTTAGATAATTGTATTTAGAATTTAGTATTGTGACTTTATGAACCTTTATTAATTAACTACTTCGCATATGCATATATTTTTTATTTTGTATCCATCTACTTGAAATTTCGTTCTAACACTGTAATTTATTAAATCGCTATTTTGTTTTATTTTAATATAAACAATGAATAATTAAGCTGATGAATTATTGTAATTTATTATATTTTTGAACTTTTGATATTGAGTTTTAATATAATTATCAAATCATAATGTTATAGTATCTAATAATATATATATATATCAAATGTATTAAATTGTTAAGATGGTTTAGGGTARGTTAAATTAAGAGAGTCCAAAATCAGTGTTATCTGCTGATTATTACAATAATTTATAAATATTTAAGCAGAATATATCTTTTCTGTATAAATTGAAAGTAAAATAGATTCGAATATGGCAATATACCATTTATATGATAAGATACTGCCGCCGTCGTGGAATCGACGATTAACGATTCAGAATCGTTATAGYTGATAATATATCATTCCATAATAATATAATATCCATAGAAATATTTATCTAATTTATAATTCATTTGTCTATCCTTAAATGCATGTGTGTTAAAGTTATATAAATAAAGTGGGACGTTAAACGAAATAGAATTTATTTTGGAGAAAGGTAATCAGGGATGCAAGAGCAGAGGATGTGGTTTATTTTCACAACTCATAAACCGAGAAAATACAATCGTAATTCATAGTAGGTATATATATTGATTTTGAATAATTTTCATTCCTCAGAATAATGCCAAATTCCGATTGCGTATTCTGATAAATAATGAAAATGTTTATAAGACTTTATTTAATCGATGTATATTGTTGAATTAAATAAATAATATTAATAGTGAATATCAYTTGAGTGAAAGTTATCCATAAAAAATATTATTTTGATCATAAATATAGGATTGTGATGTGTAGGAGTGTATATTTTATAATTTATTTCTCAAAAATATGACTGTACATTTATATTTAAAATTTAGTTACTCGTATTAAAAAATGAATGCGTTACTTGGTTATGCAATATAATTAGCCAACACGAAAAGTTTTACGAGCTGTACCATTTAAAGTAGTACGATGGATACGTCATCTTAAGTGCAACCATAGAGTTATTTTATTTTTATAGTTGGTCAATTATAATTGTAATTTATGATTTTCGGAATATAAACAGATCAAACAAATTAAATTTAATATAAACTCATTCTGTAGTCTATATCTAGCTTAAAACCGGGYAAATGTGTAATGCTCACTGCTGTAGGTACATTAAGTTTCTAGAGATTCACAATAATAGATGTGTTGAATTTGAATTCAATTATATAAAATCATTGTATACGAAAAGCGATTTTGAGCAAAGATGGTCTGTTGAGCATCGGCCTATAATATCTCTAAAATATATATTTGATGATATTATTGTAATTAAAGTAATTTATTTTACTATAAGGCGTTAGTAAAATAGTGCCAAGGATAGTACCCATAGATTACAAAAAAATAAATAAATAAATAAATAAATAAAAAATAAATACATTTGAAAATGTCATTATGTGCATAAAATATAATAATATGTACTTCAAAAGTTGTATATACCCACGAATAATATGGCAAAAAAAATAACAAAAAATTTTTTTTAGAGTTATTCTTGGTTTTTATTTCGTAATTTCGTCCAAATTTGAACTTAAAATTCTTATAAAAAATCTTACCTATGTGTATTATTAATATTTTTGAACTATTATTGTAACAATGAGTGAGGATACTTGTTTTACATTTTTAACCCTTAACAATTTAATTTTAAACACTTATCAGCTAATMATTTAACTAACTATAAGGAACCTTGTATTAAATTTTCAAGCTTTTTGACCCAGCTAATATTATTTTATCGATATTTATTGAAAACTTTGACTGGCATTTATAGAATAAAAACTGAATAAATTTCAAATTTCAAATGTTTATAAATAGCTCAAAAAGAGTTAAAATATATTGAAAACATAATCATGTATAGAAAATGATAACAGAATAATTTGATGAAAATATCAAATACCTACAGTTATTTTTTTTTGAAAAATGACAAAATAAAAATGTATTATATGAGAATAATTTGTTAGTTAACAGAATATCCAATGCCTATTGCATTGGAAAAATTAGTCTAACTTTTTTTTATATGTTAAACGTWGGAAAATTTAAGAGGAATCTTGTGTTAAATTTTCAAATCTTATAGGTAGGAAAATAAAATTTTTATGATTTTCTAACTCAAAATAATTTGTAATGACAAATTATTGGTTTATTTTAAAAATGATGAAGTCGACATGGGTTACACAAAAATAACAGTCGAATCGTCGTTAACTAACTAAGCGAACAAGCTTATAAATACTAAAACTTTATTTTGAAATTAACATAAAATAATATTTAAATCTTTGATCATAGTATGTMATTTGACTTAAATGATGATTTTAAATTTTCATTTTGATTTGTAAGATAACTGATACTTATAAATTGTATAGTTATATACTTATATCAAACAAAGATTTTTAAAATTATTGGCTTTTATAATCCTATTGCATTACTTTAGTTGCGGGGGTCGTGATGTTGGTCATCTTATTATTATATAAAACGCCACATGACCTACATTTGCAAAATTAAAACAAGTTTTCTCTAAAATAAAAAACGCACTGATGCTTTTCACTTGTCTTGTACATAATATAATGTAGTAAACTCATATATACATACTTATTAACTTATCTTTTAGACATAAATCGTTGAAGCCAAATTGTGAAATAAGAATATATAGGTACGATGTCAAAGATTATCTCTTACACATAGGTAATAGGTATACATCTTATTTACCAACAAAATATTTTATTAAAAAATGTGTTGCAGTTGTTTTATACAAAATATTGAATTTTAAATGATTTTTAATTATATATAACAAAAAAGACTTAACGTATTAATCAACCTACCACAATAAATTAATTGTTATAAATATAAAGTAATAACATTTTTATTTTGGTCTGCGATCACTTCCCAATCGAAGTAGTGAACACTGAAGAGTAAATGGCATACAAGTTTATAATACACCTATATTGGAAATACTTATACTATTATAATTTACATACGTATTGTAATATGGAAAAATATGTAAATAACATGGAAGTTGGATGTGCAAATAATATTTTATTCGTTTAATAGAAAATTTAAAAAAACAATAAACTAAGAAATTACCTTATACATGATTAGTGTCTAGTTAAATGTTTCAAAAATATTGCTAACATTTTTTTTTKGAAATTTTAAAATTAAATAATAGAGGAATTCATCATAACATTATTAATAATATTTCAATAGAATTCTTAATAATTTTTTCCAAAACTTGATGCTTAATTAAATAAGTTTATTTTAATTATTAAGTACCAAAAAAATTTTAATTTTTGTATTTGATGTACATATTTTAAAAAAAAAACCTTTATCATAATATTATTATCATTGCATGTAACTTGCATATAACTAGTTGAACTAATATAACTATAAGTATAACAAATTATAAAAAGAATTTAAAGTAAAATATATGTATCAATCGATACAAATCGAAATTTTAACGTAAACTTGTAATCCCTCTGACTTCATAAGATACAGCAACTTAAATATATTTTTAATAAATTACCCTATAGATTAAACTTTAAATAATAATAACCATACCAACATTAATTTTAGCAATTTTTGAATGTAAGTTTAGTATTGGTATTTTAAAAATATTAAAAATCAAAATAGAAGTGATTTTTTTTATGAAATATATGAAATTATGATCTGCATATTTGCAAAATAGTAAAATACTAAATAGTAAAATAGGTAAACAAGTTTTACATAACAATTAAATCTTAAATGGATTTATTGAGTTGGTAGATAATTCAGATAATTATACAATTCAATATCAATCAATGTATATTTTACTCTTTATATGTATTTACATTATATATATATATATAAGTGTATTATACGTACACTCACATTAATTACAATCACGTAATAATTTGTATGATGAAAAAAGTATGAAAAATTTGTTGTTACTTATGGTTAGCTTAAAAATATTATAGAATTATTGAAAATCGTGGTATTATTCAGTATTTTGTTAATCTTACTCAGTATTTGTTAATTATCAATAGTGGACAACAAACTATATAACAATTAAGTACTATTAGTTCTTCGTATAGGCATAGCTTTATAAAACATAAGGCATATGGGTTTCATAATAACTATTTAAGTTTGATTTTTACTGTTGTCTGTAGACCAGTATAGACAAGGAAAAGAATCATTATGGCGGTTCTACTGATGTACGTTAAAAATATGAAAGTAAAGACGATACGTTATTTTAATAACGATTATTGTTATGTAGTGAAGTTTAATAGAAAGAAATATTTTCAGATTTTTTTTAAGGCCGTTAATTTACCCTTAAATTTTGACTCTGCCAATTTAACTTTGTAAATTTTATACTTAGGTGTCTATCTCATGATCGAGCTTCCATTTTTCATAACAAAAAAAAATTGATAGCCAG